ATGTAAATACATCGGTTTAAACGTTGATTCCAGTTCCCTCACCAGGGCCATGTCCATGTAAATACATCGGTTTAAACGTTGATTCCAGTTCCCTCACCAGAGCCATGTCCATGTAAATACATCGGTTTAAACACTGATTTCAGTTCCCTCACCAGGGCCATGTCCATGTAAATACATCGGTTTAAACGTTGATTCCAGTTCCCTCACCAGGGCCATGTCCATGTAAATACATGTAAAAACTTTTCTACATTGCCTGTCAATTGTCAGGTCAGCCTAAAATTAGGATAATTTAAAGGCATATCGCTTACATAAATGATGAAGAGGACAGGGTTAACTACCACATCCCTGGACCCGGCATGGCCAGGGGGTTAGAGCACTCGATTCGCAATCTGCAGGTCGTGGGTTCGAATCCACGTCACACCAAACATGCTCGCCCTTTCAGCCGTGGGGGCATTATAATGAGACAGTGAATCCCATTATTCATTGGTAAAGAGTAACCCAAGAGTTGGCGGTCTTTCCTTTAGTCTTACACTGCTAATTTAGGGACGGCTAGCGCAGATAGCCCTCGTGTAGCTTTGCGCGAAATCCATAACAAACCACATCCATGAAGAGCTCCCGCTGTTTTATAAGAAGTTAGATAATCGTGAAATAACTCCTGCACGTAAATCCATTTCTTTCAATTTATATCTTAACCTGTTGTGCTATATTGAGAAAGCAGGCGACAGTGCATTTACTATGATTAAAATTAGCAACTACGGTTTCAATTAATCTAACTGAATGATCTGTTTTTTTGCCGAAATTTTCTGAAACCGTTTTGAATTTTGGGTAATTTTGACTTCCAGAAGAATCTATTGCTAATAATTTTTTTTATAGAATTTTGTCTACACATCTAGTCAGACTAATTAGTGGTTAGCTTCTTAGTTTATTCACTTGTTTTTCTTCCTTTAAAATCATAAGAACATTGGCTTGTTTCCAAGAGGTTGAGATATATCCAAAGTTTAGGGATAAATCAAATAAAGGTGTTAGGTAGTCAAACAATTTATGAGTCTCTTGAGAGAATGACTTATATACCATCCTCTCCTGGTGTGTTTTGTTGATATTATTATTTCAATGTTTGTTATTTTCCTCGTAATTCTGTTCGTTTGTTGATTTTAGAGATTAATTGGAGGAGTTTAGATGTGTGTGTGTATTTGATTTCGTGTGTTCGTTTGTTTGTTTGTTTTGGAATTTCGCGCAAAGCTACACGAGGGCTATCTGCGCTAGCCGTCCCTAATTTAGCAGTGTAAGACTAGA